TTTGAAAACTGGTAGGGCAATGCTTCTTCTGGTCTTTTTGCTCAATATTGATGTGGCTTTGGGGGCTTTTTCTCGCTCCTAATGTATCATGGACTAATCAGGCCCACAACCTCCCAAACAAATGGACAGTGAAAGCTTATATAAAAGAGACAAGTGTAGGGGCTGGGGATTTAGCTCAGCGGCATAAGCACCTGCCTTGCAAGCAGGCGGTCATGAGTTCGATCCCTGGTACCGATAAAAATGAAAAAGACAAAAAAAAAAAAAAGAGAGACAAGTGTGATTTTAGGATCAAAACCAATAGGATCAAAACCCTCTAGCAGAATTCAAGATTCTCTGGCTTAGAGAACTTCTCTGGGCAGCCCATATCCATTTGGTTTTCAAACAAGGGAAGGGCTTACAAGTGGAAAACAGGAGAAAGTGAGCAGGACCTTGGAGTCAGCTCAGTGACTGCTCAGTAATAACTTATATTACTTTAGGAGAACTGTCTTATCTCCAGGTCTCCTGTCTTCACGGCAGGAGTGAATTGCCTGCAGCAGCAGTCTTTCTCTAGTTAATTTGGGTAGGAGTCTGGGCGTCCTCAATTGTGGCCTTGTCTTTTCAGGCCCACTACAGCCATGTAGAGGTTCACTTACCATGAATCTACTGCCCATCTCCAGAAAGGGACTCTAGGTCTTTGACAGGCTCACAAATAAACGTAGAAAGCCAATTGGTTACTTGTAAATCCTGCTTTATCGTGGTCTCCATAAATTTAGGAATTTAAGATCGTTCTTTCTATATCATGGAAAATGGGGCCGGAGATACAGATCAGCAATGCAGTGCCTGCCTGGCAAGTACAAGAGCCTGAGTTTGATTCCTGGTGCCAACAAACAAACAAATGTACATATATGTATGTGTATGTAAAAAACAAAGCTGGGATGTGGTGTAAAGCATATGCTTAGCATGTAGGAGGCCCTGTGTTCAGTCCCCTGCAGTGCAAACAAAATATGCTGTGGAAAAAGCCATTGGAATTTTGATAAAGGTTATTTGAATCTCTGATAGTGTGGACTTTTTAACAATATTCTAGTCTGTGAAGCTTTTGTTTTTATCTGAATTGTCTTCAGTTTCCTGTATCGGTGTTAAATGATTTTCAGTGTACAGATCTTTCATCTTCTTGGATAAACTTATTTGTAAAGTTGTTATATATGTATTCATATTTTTATTTTATATATTATATATATTTTATATTTTTTGGATATTGGGAATTAACTGTACCACTGAGCTATGCTGCAGCCTCTTATGTTTTACTTTTTAGAACCTATTGTGAGATTATTTTCTTTGGGTTTTTTGTTTTTATTTTGGTTTTTTTTTTTTTTTAAGATGGAGCCTTGCTGGTCTTAAACTTGTGGACTCAAGGCATCCTCCTGCCTCACCCTTCCAAGTAACTGGGGCTATAGGTAATTTTTTATTTTTTTTGTCTTTTTGAGACAGGGTTTTGCTATGCAGTTCAGGCTGGCCTTGAGCTCACTTTGTAGCCCAAGCTGGTTTCAAACTCACAAAGATTTTCTTGCCTCAGCCTCCCAAATGCTGGGATTACAGGCGTGCACCACCACACCTAGCTCAGGTGATTTATTTTCTTGATTATTCAGATAGTGCACATTAGTATGTGTCACTGATTTTCATAATTTAATCAGTCTTTTCTTGATATTTCTTTCTTCTGACTTTCAGCTTGATTTTTTTTCTGATTTCTTGAGGTGGAAAGTTTTTTTTAACATAGATATTTATTGCCATAGACTCCCTCTTAGAATTGCTTAATTACCATATGATTTTCTCCTTATCAATAATAGCTATTTAGAAATATTTTTAATGGATTAAATAAGAATTACCCCACTGGAAATAACGTACTTAACTAAGCTGCTGGGCCAGAGGGTACTGCTCAGTAGTAGCAGGGAAGCACTGCTAGGGCGCTTCCCCACCACCATCACCACTACCATGAAACTAAGCTAATACTGGTGGTACACAGGTTTTTTTAAAAAAAAATGTATATAATATAATATGCATTACTCATAAATTACAAATTAATACAAGGGCAAATATCTTTGCCAGATTAACTTTTATTTGCATTCCAGTTAATTTTCTTCAGAAAGAATATGAGGAGGACAATTATTAAGTCAAAGAAACACCACACTGCGCTGGCAAAGAAACTGAAACATTTGACTTTAAAGGCAAAGATCTAACTCTATACAGTATTGTTTCAATATAAAGGTTGCTGGGGCTAGGTGTGTAGCTTTGTGGTAGAGCCCTTGCCTAGCATGGGTGAGGCCCTGGATTTAATTTCTAGCACTACAGAAAAATAAGTAGGTGGCAGGAGTACATTCTCAAAATCGAGAAAACTCAGAGGACATAGAATATATGAACCTTTTAGAAAAACTTACTGACAACCAGGAAAGAAGAGAATTAGAAATAATTCAGGAATGGAGAAGCTCTTAGGCAAGGGCCAGCAATGAACAGAATCTATTTAGAATAAATGATGGCAGGGCTGGGGGATTTAGCTCAGCGGCATAAGTGCCTGTGTTGCAAGCATGCAGTTGTGAGTTGGATCCCTGGTACCGATTAAAAAAAAAAATAAATAAATGATGGGCCAGTTAATTAATACACTGTAAATAATAAGAGATGTTTACATCATAAAAACAAATTTTGAGGCTTGGGATGTAGCTCAGAAGTAGAGTGCTTCCCTGACTTGTGCACAGTGTTGGGTTTGATGATGACAGTACTACAAAAATAAACCAAAAAACTGTAACTGATAGAATTTTTTTTTAACTGATAGAATTTTTGGCACGGAAAGGAACCATTTGATAGAATTTTCGGAGGGCTAAAAAGATAAGTATGAAATAAAAGTGCCTTTATTTTAAGAATGTGGAGACTGCATGACCTCCGGGGTCTGGCATCTCCGTGACACGTGGTGTGGGGGCATACGTGTAGCTTAGGTTTGGGGTGGTGCCTAAGGGGCATTAGTGATCACAGGTAGCCCATTGGTATTCATTTTGCACCACAATAAATTGCCTAGGGGTGGGAAAGGTGACCTCCCAGGCTCCCACCTGCTAGTGTCTGGGGAAAAATCCTTTCAGAAAAAAAAAATTCCTTTCAGTAACACTTGCTACTTTTCAGGCTCTTTGTAAATACAGATTTAAGATTTTGACATATGAAGTAGATACTGTTATTCTTATTTTACAGATGAGAAATGAAGCTTATAGAGGTCAAGGTCACAAAGACAGTAAGTCCTGAAGTCAAGATGAGCTCAGGTTTTCTGGCTACAGAGCTCAGGCCTTATTAACCACTGTGCCAATTCACTGTGCCACTGAATTTATTGAAATAATCCACAAGCAGGAGGCAGCAAGTGAAAGTCTGAGGTGCTGGTGTCTACACTGCTTACAGTGGAAAGAGACACAGAAGCAATAGTTCTGTGTTGTTGGTTTTGTTGGGGTTTTTGGTACATGGGATTGAACTCATGACCTTGTGCTTGCCAGACAAGCACTTACATTGCTGAGCTAAATCCCCAGCCCCCCCCCCTTTTAAAAAAAGAATCTAATCTTTTTGTATGTTTTCTAATCTCTCTCTAATTCTAGACACTCATTTAGGAAATTTCTCTGAGAGGAAGAATACGAATTTAAAGGTGAACAATTTCCTTCATTTTACTTTAATCAAGTTTTCCTCAGATAAAATCAAGTAAAATCAAAGTTGTATTTTTTATTTAGAAAATAAGTAATAATAATGTATGTGGCCCAATTTATCAAAATATTTTTATTTGGCATCCACTTAGCCAGCCAGCATTTTATCTGCAAAATTGACTAGAATGGTATTGACTTAATGATAATGATGAATAATATTTACTAGGGTTTTTTTTTTAGAATAAATGATATATACATGGGGATTTGAAATTTTGTATGCAGAAACATAAAGTAATCCCTGTTACTGCTTCTGCTTAATTAAACAGCTTGTTAGCAGTTTCCCATTGGTGGGTTAATTCAGGGTCCTGAATGCGACCACTAAAGCCTGAGTGGTCTGGCCTGGCTGCCTCTCTAGCCTTCTCCTTACAGCAGCCCTTTTGCTCTTTTTTTATCCCTCTGGCTACAGACTGCCTCACCTCTTTTCTTTTGCCTCTTCGTTATACCTGAGCTCACTTCTTTAAGGAATTTTCCTTGAGCTTGCCTGCAAGCTCAGGCAGGGCCTTCATGCATTCTCATAGGACAAGGGCACTGCTCCATATATTTGTCACACCTAAAATTATATATTTTTTTGTATGCTGATTCAATATGTCTCACTAGACAGTAAGATCCACAAGAGCAGGATAGTGTCTTCCTCAGGACATACATAGCACCGTAGCTGGGCAATAACACATTCATCACACTGTCATCCCTCAGTCACTGGAAGATTGGTGCAGACACTAGAATCCTTGGTGGCTCCGATCCTTTATATAAAGATATTTCCATGAAGCCTTTGCACTTCTCATGTATACTATTAAATCATCTCTAGATTACTTTATAATACCTAATATAAATGATTATAATACCTAATGTAATATAAATGATACTATAAATAGTTGTTATACTATATATTGCTTTAGGAATAATGAGTAGGTAAAAATCTACCTACCAGAGGGCATAATTTTTTCTGAATATTTTTGGTCTGAGATTGGTTGAATCTCCAGATTGATTAAATCCTATATTTAAATGGATTGGTCCACCCTGTACTTCAATGAATGAACATGCAGTTGAGTGGTTGTAGAATGCCATGTCAATATCATTCGCAATTTTTACCACCTTGAACTCTTTGGGCTTCCTCACAAGATAGTAATTTAAAAGCGTTTACAGTTATAAATGCTGAAAGTTGCTCGGTATGCCAAGCCATCTCCCATTCATGATGCCTTAGCTTATAGGACGTGGACTTTATGCAGACTTCTCCCCGACTTTGTCCTGTTGTGGCTGGCTTGGGTTTACTGCTGCCTTTGTTCTCTGTCCTCACAGGTGGACTGACTCAAGACCTGAAAGCTGCTTTCCGCTGCTTCCTGATGGCCTGTGAGAAGCCTGGCAAGAAGTCTGCAGAAGCCTGTCACAATGTCGGTCTCCTGGCTCAGGATGGACAGGTCAATGAGGATGACCAGCCCGACCTGGGGAAGGCCCGGGACTACTACACAAGGGCGTGTGATGGTGGCTATGCTCCCAGCTGCTTTAACCTCAGTGCCATGTTCCTGCAGGGTGCTCCTGGCTTCCCAAAGGACATGGCCCTGGCTTGTCAGTACTCGATGAAAGCTTGTGACCTGGGCCATGTCTGGGCTTGTGCCAATGCCAGCCGCATGTACAAGCTGGGGGATGGTGTTGATAAGGATGAGGTGAAGGCTGAGGTGCTAAAAAATCGGGCCCGGCAGCTGCACAAAGAACAGCAGAAAAGTGTGCAGCCCTTAACATTTGGGTAATGCAACCCACCTCCCTCTGAGGCAGCAAACAGTTTAAGGCTGGCAACTCCTGTTTCTGAGGCCTAACACAGTCCTTGATCATTAATCTGCTGGAGTGGGAGAACTTGGGACTTGATTTCAGCAGCTCTCGTTATGTGGATCCATTTATCTGAGTGTCACTACTGAGGTGTGGCCTACAGTGTGTATTTCAGTTATCTAATTGAAATCCCTTATCTGATTGAAATCTGTGAAGGAAACCACATTTGTGGGCCTTAATGTTCAAACTCTCGCAGTTCTGTCAAAAGTAGCAGCCAAAAAAACCAAACCAAAACAAAACAAAACAAAAAAAAATGCAAAGTAGAAAACCATAGACATTTGGGTAGGATGGAAACAAATAGTTGGAAGTTGGAAAGATTAGCAGCCATGGGCCCTGAAGGAATCAGACATCATATTTATTATTGACAGTGTTTTAGCTTGGAAAAGCTTGAAAATCAGAAAGTATCTTGATTTACAAAATAGAGGCTTTAAGAAGCTCAGATCAGTTGAAAAGTCACAACTGCCACCCTCGGATTTACATAATCATTGGTGTGGGCTTTCTTTTTTCAATTTTCTTGTAAATTCCTGGAGATTGGGAGGGATGTGTAACATGAAGGTTAAAGGTTGTTATACATGAGGATTGCTGAAGAAGCTTCTAGAAGTTAAAAATTAACATCTCAGCCAGGTATAATGGCACACACCTGTAACCCTAGCACTTAGAGGCTGAGGCAGGAGGACTTCTGCAAGTCCGGGGCCAGCCTGAACTGTACAGTGATGCTTCATCTCAATGAATGAATGCAAAAAACAATTATCTCCAGGGCATTCACCTGGCCCAGCTGTCAGGCAGAAGAAACAGATTATTCCTAAACAACTCCAGCTAGAAATTTGTAAGCAGATTTTGTGACATTTTGTCCGTTGGAACTGAACCGGTTTTTTAAGCTGTTTCTATGAATAAACCATTTTTGATGGTTTATAATTTGTTTTATTAGTGTTGTCAAGAGTCTAGGTAGGGTAGAGTGCTCTTCACAATGGTTGTGTCTTTTTTTTTTTTTTTTTTTTTTTGGTACTGGGGATCAAACTCATGACCTCTCACTTGCCAGGCGTTATGCCTGCTGAGCTAAATCCCAGCCCAGAAGTGTCTTTTTTTTTTTTAAGGAATGTTTGCTTTTTCTGTTATCTCCCTAAGTTGTCACCAGAGGGCGAACTTGTCATTTTCCTGCTGATAACAGGACCATTAAATCTGTCACTACCTAGTTTTCAGATTTCAGTTTTGCAGTTGTCCTAGAAGGAAGTCCTGCCTTAAGGCTTGCAAGCTTAGCCATCCCCTTCTCAAGTTGGCAGAGAAGGAGTTTCCCAAGTAGGTGTCACTGGCTGGATTTCTAAACTTTCCAAATATACGACCCCGCTACAGCAGGCTCCCTATTCGCAGAAAAAGACTTTTCAGTATATGACAGAGACATGAGAGAAAGTGTTACAGAGTAAAAAGCATAAAGCAGCCTTTATTGAATAGGTTGCCAAAGGAACTCCCAGTTTAGGATTTTTATATTTGGGAGAAAAAAAGACTCCATTGCTAAAATTATCAGTATAAACAGGGCAAAAACATTCTTCAGTGGGGCATGAATATCTTATTCCTGGGCAAGAAAATCCCAGCAACCCAATGAGGCCTTTGTTTTGTTGAGCCCCGAAGCTGCTGTGGCCTCAGTTATCGGTGGTTATCAGCATGACCTTCACTGAATCCTTGTGACTCTTTGACTTGTCCTTTTCCTGGCTGCCTGTAACCGCCTTTGCCAGGACTCTGCTTGCTTAGCACATCCACAGGCCTGAATGTTTAGATTTCTGTTGGGAACCTCTTTTGAGGTTGGGAAATGCTATCCCAACCTTAGAAAAGAGAACCACAGCCCAGCTACACCTGTGGAGGTCGGAGGTCTTGCAGCTTATTATCCTACACCAGTTCTCCTAGCTGTCTGTGTGTTAGGACCTGCGCCTGCACCTTACTCTTAATTGGTGACCTCAGGTGACTTCAGCAGTGTGCTGGAAGTTGCGGTTTTCTTACAAAGTACAATTGTTATAAAATTTCCTTGTCTCCTTTCTCTCTCATGTCTTCTATCTTACCTGATAGTGAGGGTTTTAAGAGGTACCAACCTCATTCGTAAAATGTAAACTAGACTTTTGTTGCTTTAAACTCTAGGCCAGAAGGTGGTATCTGCAGCTATTTTGAAGATGACAAAGGCGTTGTGAGAACTAGCGTTGATTTCAAAAGATATTCTGGTTTATTTTTATTAACTTTATTATTTTATTTTTCTCTTTAAAATAAAAATTTAAAATAAAATGAACTATGGGCCAAAAAAGGTATGAAACAGTGCTTCCATTTACAAATCATGTGGGGATGTAAGTCAACCACAGCGAACTCTTGAAGCTTAACCATCAGAGAACAGCCTGACTTACAACTGGGCCAAAGACCTTAGTAGATACCTTACCGGAGAAGATATGCAAGTCGTAGAGCACTTGTCTAGCACGTAGCAGGCCTAGAATTCCCCCAGGATTGTACAAAAAGATAGAGGTGAGAAGCATATGAAAAGACACCGGATAAAGCATGCCATCAAGGAAATGGAAATTAAAACAAAATCGAGACTACTAAACATTTCCTAGAACTGTCAAAATCCAGAACCCTGAACAACATCAAATGCAGCCATCCTGTGGAGCAACAAGAGCTCTCTATTGCCAGTGGAAATGCAAGATGGTGCTGCCCCTGTGGAAGAAGGCAATTTAGTGTAGTTCTCAGAACTAAGCGGACTGTTAACAGCATGTTCCAGCTGTCTCCTGGGAGTTTACCCAAAGGAATGCAAAATGTCACACACAAACTAGACCATGAATATTTATAGCGGTTTTAGAATTGGCAAAACTTGGAAGCAACCAGGATGTCCTTGAGTAGATTAAAAGATAAACTGGTACATGCACACAATAAACTCTTCAGCACTAAAGTGAATTATCTATGAAAAGTCAAGAATGTTAACAAGCGAAGTAAGCCAGTCTGCAAAGGTGCCATTCTACAGGAATCCGACTGTGGGACACTGGTATCTATTCCTGAAAAGCAAAACTGGAGACAAAACTCCAGGGGTAGAGACCTGAGCACTTGCGTAGTATTCGTGAGTCCTAGTTTGATTCCCAGCGCCATAAAGGAGAAAGCACAGACACGGGTTAGGTGGGAGGAAAGGGTGACAATTCAGGGCACAGTTTTTAGGGTGAAGCTGCTCTCTGTAGTACTGTAATGGTGGGCATGTGTCATACGTTTGTGCAAACCTCTAAAATACGTAACACCAAGAAGGAGCCCTGATGTTCACTGACTCGGTGGGAAGGGTGTGTCAGTAAAGTTCACCAGTTTTAACAAATGTATTGATGAGGCCATTCTCATGGCGGGCAGGGTTCCATATATGGGAAATTTGCCTTCTGGTCAACTTAGTTGTGAACCTAAAACTGCTCTTAAAAAGTACAATAAATCACTTTTTAAAATTTCCAACGAGATACCACTTCACACCCATTAGGATAACTGCTATTAAAAAAAGATGGAGAGAAATTGGAATCCTGTGGATAGTTGTTGGGAAAATAAAATAGTGCAGCTGCTGTGGGAGATAATATGGTGGTTCCTCAAAAAATCAGAATTGCTGTATGATCCAGCATCTCCACTTCTAGGCATATACCTAAAGTAATTGAAGGCTGACATTCATGTTCATAGCAGCATTAAGATGAAGTAACCCAAATGACCACACTACATGAAAATATAGTTTGTATGTAGCGTATTTCTCAGTTATAAAAAGGAAAATATGATACATGCCACGACATGGAAGGGTCTCAAGGGTATTAAGCTAAGTGAAATAAGCAAGTCCCAAAAGGACATGCTTATAATGTGGTATCTAAACTTATGTATGAGTCCTGTGAACTCTAGAATAGTTTTCAGGGGCTGGCATGAGGGAGTTAAACATTTGTAAGATGAAAAATTCTGGAGATTACATGACATACTTAAGACTACTGAACTGGGCCTGTAAGAATGGTTGAGATGGTAAGTCCTAAGTATTTTTTACTGTAATAATTTTTAATTGTTTTTTAAAATTTAACATTTGAAGTTTTTAAAACTGTGTTCTTATGAAATGCAATTTTTTTTGTTGTAGTTTAATATGTTTGAGACAGGGTAAGCTGGCCTCAAAACTCAATCCTCCTGCCTCAGCCTTCCAAGTGCTGAGATTACAGGCATGTGCTTACTACACCAGCATGAAATGCAATTTGGAACATGGAAGATACCATTACCCATTACCCCTGGCTTACTTAAAGGCATTCTTTGTCACAATTGTGTTGTGTTGTGTTGTGCTGGGATTCAACCCAGGGGTGAGCTACCACTGAGATATATCCCCTTTTATTTTGAGATGGAATCTCCCAAACTGCCCAGACTGGTCTGGAATTTGTAATCCTGCCTCAGCCTCCTGAGTAGCTGGGATTACAGTTGTGTATCACCATGCCCAACTAATTTTTTTTTAAAGATTCACATTGCTAATTAAGTGGGATTTGTGATTTTGAAGAATTGGTAAACTTGATTGTTGGGTGAGGGATGTGCTGAGTTTTTTTCCAGGAGAGTTCCCAAATCACGTGCTGAGAAGGGCTGGAACAACAAGTTCCTAAAGTGCAAGGGCTGCTTATTTACCTTTACTGTCTAGCAGGGTCTAAGGCAATTTATCATCTGTGAGAGGCGGTGGGAGGCTCACTTGGTGCAGCCTTTGAAGTGAGTCTTGAAAGGGGCTTTGGAGAGTCACAGGCAGCAGTATTATCACCTTGCCTTCTAGCCCGCAGGCATTTACAGGCTTTCCTAACTATTTCCTGGGTTTGTCTTCCAGCTTTGATACAGGAAATGCTGAGGGGCCCTGGTGGTATAGTGGGGAAGAAGATTCCTAATTAACTAGTGGCTTGTTCTCAGGAAGACCTCAGTGCAGGGAGAAAGGGAAGCAGGAGTCCCTTTCCTCCCTCTCCGGGGAGGGAGTTGGGCTTTATCTTGCAGGGAATGCAGAGTCCTAAGCAGGAAAATGAAATGATCATCCAGTGCGAAAAATGAATTGGAGGGGAGACAGGAGGCCAGGAGACCTGTTAGGAGACTGCTCCAAAAATCAAGAGGTGACTGAGGGTCAGGGCTGAGGAGCAGCAGCAGCCAGATGGGGCCGGTGACTTGAAGGCAGCTCAGTTAGCTCCACGTAGCCACGGAGAAGGCAGCAGAGGGTTTTGGCATGAGAGGAGAGCGCATACTGACTGGAGCTTATAGAATGGAGGTGGGCACAGGATGAGTTTGCAGTGATTTTTTCAAATGCTGAGGGGAACTGCAGTTTTGATAGTTTTTACAAAACTGCTTGAAAATTTTTATAAACAGCTGCATGATAGGAAAATGCCTATACTTTCACGCCAGTAGATATATACAATTCAGGATTAGTCAGACGCAGGTGAAATATCTGTGTTTAGGGCATGCATCTGACAAAGAATGAAGAGACTAAGTTTAGTAATTATTTCATATTTTTAAAAATTATCATGTAATAACTTTGGGAAGAAAATCAAAATTTTTTGGTTTCCTTTGCAGTTTAGGTCTCTTGCATTTTGAATTCTACACTAGGGTTAGTTGGGTGCCACCAGATTCCCAGTTCTTAGGTCTAAAGGTCATAACCTAGATTCCAGCCTTTGTATTTCATTTTGTTACTGTGTGATCTTGGTTACCTCCCTTCTGGGTTTGTTTGCTAATTTGTTATCTTTTTGAGACAAGATTTCACTGTGCAGTTCAGGCCAGCCTTGAACTCACTGTGCTGCCTGGGCATGGCCTGAACTCGAAGTGATCCTCCTGCTTCAACCTCCTTCGTGTTGGGATTATAGGTGTACACCACCATGCCCAGTAGTTACTCAGCCTTCTGTATATGGGTTTTGCCATTTCTCAGATGGTGATAGCAAAGTCTTCTAGTAAGTCATAAGGAAGAGTAAGTAATATCTCTTACCAGAATGATAGATTTTTATGGAACCAGTTAACAGTTAACCAGTTACAGTTAAGTCACCACTTTCTCTCCAGTGGCATTGTTAGTTTTGCTGTCATTCTCTCAATGTCTAGGACAATAATTCCCTAGGGGTACTGATGGCATGAGACAGCTGCAGGAGGCAGCCTGGGCCCGCCCTACCTTCTTTGTCTGCTGCCTGAGAGCAGTGACTGAGAACACCAGTACCTGCTGGGGCCCCCAGTGCGGGGAACCACTATTCCCAGCTGGTGTCCCTCCCAGGCTTGCAGGAAGGTGACTGCAAGACAGGGTTTTGTTTGGTTGGTTTTTTGTTTGAGATAGGACTTCACCATGCAGCTCGGTTGGCCTTAAGTTCACTTTGTGGTCCAGGTTGGTCTCAACTCATAATGATCCTCCTGCCTCAGCCTCCAGAGTTCTGGGATTACAGGCATGTGCCACCACACCCAGCCTGCATGATACCCCTCTTCACTGTCTAAAGGGGGAAGTCCAAAATTCTTTGCCCAACATATAAGTAAATGTCCATTCCAAATTTAGCCCCTTCTAATTTGAGTTTTTGTCTCAGAGAATTCACTGCAGTCTCTGTACTAGCCACAACAAAAAGATGCTCAACTCACATAAGCACGCATGCGAATTATTAGTGGTGACAGATGTGGGGCAAACAGTGCATAATGTATATGTGTATCAAATGATGCTGTAAATGTGAACTTTCTGCAGTACCTGTCCCAAACAAGATGAAAAGAACAGAGAAGCACAGGGCAAGTGAGCACTGCAGACTGTGGAGAGGCCTAATCCTTATACTGATCTACATTCTGATCTACATACTGATCTACATTCTCAGCCTTCATTTTTTTCAAGACAAGGTCTTGCTAAGTTACCCAGACTCATTTTGAACTTGCAAATCTTCTCACCGAGCCTCTGGAATAGCTGAGATTAGAGATGTGTGCTAACGCATCTTGTTTGAATATATACAATTTTAACTTATCAATTAAATACTACAAAAGAAATAGAAAAATAACAAAAACACGCAGGCTGTTTCTTGCTACCACACTTGTGCTGATTCTTGTTTCCCTGGCATTTCCATCTCCCCTCCTTTTTTTTTTGGTGCTGGGGATTGAACTAACAACCTTGTGTTTGTCAAGCAGGCACTTATGCCACTGAGCTAAACCCTAGGGGCCCCCCCCCATTTCTCCTTTGATATCATTTTTCGAAGCCCCCAGAAGACTTGGCCCCTAGGCTGTGACAGAGGACACGCCTGTCCACATGTGCACCAAGCCTGCGTCCCTCACGGCCCTGACTGTACCATGTTGGCCTCTGTGTACCAGTGGCCTCTGCTCCTAAGACTTGGCCAGCTCTCTCTAACCACAGTGTCCATAAGGAGGCTGGGCCTCTGTGGCTGCTTGCCAGAGTGGACAGCACAGAAGGGCACCACAGCAGCCTCTGGCCGCCTCAGTCAGGCTCAGTCTTCTCTCACACCTCAACAACCGAAGTTGTTTGCAAGGTTCTTCCCTCTGAAACTCCTTAACAAGAAAAACTACTTAGGAAGCTGGCATGGCTTAGTCACATGATGGATCATGATTCTTGAGTTCTATTCTTTCAAAAGAGAAAGTTGAAATAAAGGAAAGAATCCAAGACTGCCACCCTGGCATGCTAAAGCGCATGTTCCCTGACTCAGTGCCAGCAAACTAATCATATCCTCGTGGTAAAGAATCACAAGTTCGAGGAGGCCACATCTTTCTTGGAATATTAAGAATATTTCTTGGACAAATAAGAATAACTGTCATCAGTCATCCTATATTTGCCTCTCTGAATTTTCTATGAGACTTAAGGCACAAGAAGTCCTCTGAACTTTCCTGTCCTCTACAGCAGTATGGACGCCTCAGTCCTCAGCACCCACCCAAATCCATCTCGACCAACGTAATGAAATACGGGTTGAAATAAACAAACACTAGGACATTCTTATGCATACTAACTGTGGGCATCTGACAAGTGGTAGAAAGTTCCTTAGCTCGGCATGCTGCCTCTAGTTTGGGCTTCACAGCTTCGGTCTTTTACACTGCAGGGTAATGCAGGACATTTCACTGAAATGCCCTGTCTTCTTATCTCCTTTGGCAAAAGTCTAGCCAGCTCCCTGTAGTCCAAAACTCAGCCCAGATGTCATCTCCAGGAAGCCCTCTGGCCTCTCCACAGTCTGCAGTGCTCACCTGCCCTTGTGCTTCTCTGTTCTTTTCATCTTGTTTGGGACAGGTACAAGTGCTGTGACACCTTCGATCACACCTGGCCCATTTGTATTCCCAGTGCCTTAGGACCCAGCACAGATGAGAAATGCACTTACTGAAGGAAAGGGACAGGAGGAGAACTCTAGGGGACCACTCCCGTCTTCCAGCAAATCCACAGAGCATTGAAAATGTAGCTTAGAAAAAAAAAAAAAAAAGAAAGAAAATGTATTTTGGAGAAGGATCTAGATTTCAATCACTAACCATATGTG